TTTTTTTTTTCTGAGACGGCTGCGTCAAGTCCGAAGCCGCTCGTTGTGCTTGCGAGCCTTGCCACTCTGTGTCCGCAATTCTTCTTTCCCTCTTTCTCCCCATCACACACCTTCTCCCACCCCCCCTTCTTTCCCCACACACATACTCTTCCGCACAAAATGTCCGCCGAGAACCAGGAGATCCCTCAGTTCAAGCTCGTGCTCGTCGGTGACGGTGGTACGGGCAAGACGACCTTCGTCAAGCGTCACTTGACCGGCGAGTTCGAGAAGAAGTACATCGCCACGCTCGGCGTCGAGGTGCACCCTCTCCAGTTCCACACCAACTTTGGTACGATCTGCTTCAACGTTTGGGACACTGCGGGACAGGAGAAGTTCGGTGGTCTGCGCGATGGCTACTACATCCAGGGCCAGTGTGGTATCATCATGTTCGACGTGACGTCGCGCATCACGTACAAGAACGTTCCCAACTGGCATCGCGACCTCGAGCGCGTTTGCGAGAACATCCCCATCGTCCTGTGCGGTAACAAGGTCGACGTCAAAGAGCGCAAGGTCAAGACCGGCGCCGTCACCTTCCACCGCAAGAAGAACCTCCAGTACTTTGAGATCTCGGCCAAGTCCAACTACAACTTTGAAAAGCCCTTCCTCTGGCTCGCACGCAAGCTCGTCGGCAACCCCACCCTCGAGTTCGCCGCCGCTCCTGCGCTCGCCCCGCCCGAGGTCCAGGTCGACGAGCAGCTCATGGCCCAGTACAACGCCGAACTCCAGGCCGCCGCCGCCGCTCCCCTGCCCGACGAGGACGATGGCGACCTCTAAGTGCGCTGCCATGCGCCGTTTGCTCCCACGCAATCGTCTAGTCGCATCTCTTTTGCATTCCTTTCCCCTGCCATAATACCTGCATCGTGCCCAAGCCTGCTTTCCACGGCGTGTGTGTGTGTGTTTGTGTGCTTGTCGGCGTGTGTCTTTCTACAGCCGCTCGACTGCCGGCCCAGCTTGGGCTTCTGAAGCAAGCGGAGTGATTTTCGAGGATGAACCGTGTTAGGCCGCTGCGGTGGGGGCTGGGGAACGAGGGTGTCTCGTGCGTGAAATCGTTCGAGCTGGGATTTTGGGGTGGTCGCCGGGGATGTGGCGCGGTCTGTGCACTTTTCTTCTCAAGACCGGGCGTCAGGGGGAGATCGCGCGCTGATCGGGTTGGCTTGCGAAAGGCCGACGCGTCGAGGCTGCGCACGGGGCAACGATCGTGCCACCTCGAGCTGCTCGACCCAGTGATTCGCCTGACTAAAGACTCTCGGATGCACCTCAACTTTTGTCACCCATGCCAAACTCAGCTTGGCTATGTGTGGTTTCGAGCGATGGTGTGATTTCATATGGCGGAGGTGGGGGTGCGTGGATGGGCAGAACAGTCGATCCTTTTTCTTGCGTAGCCGGTGTACCGCCGAGGCCGTACGGGTGTGCTGCCGATGCAAGGCTTGCCAATCGGCATGGGACGCAGACGCGGCCAAGCCACCGGGCTCGGTGTCGAGATGCGGGATCGATTTGAAGCTGGCCTCCTTGCGTGCGTCGCGGCGGCGAAAGGGGAGGCAGCAGCAACAGGCCGTCGTTGTCGTGTGCGTGCGTGTGCGTGTGTGTTGATTCTCTCTGCTTCCACGTCCGACACTGCTGGTTTGGGGCAGGCGCGTTGAAGGGGAAAAAAAAGGCCAACACGGATGGGCCGAATTGCACGATTAGCACCGAGTTCAAACGCGCATTTCAAAGGGTGAGATTCGCTAAGGTGGGCGGAATTCAAAATGTGCGATGGAAGGGGGGGTCAAGCGCACGACTGAGCGAGGCGCGCGTGTGTGTGTGTTCAAATCTGCAACTCGGTGCGCTGGCCATCCGCTCGCCAACTGACGCCGCCCCCCGTCCGCATCCGCATTCGCGTCTCGCTCGAAAAGCAGCTCTCTCTCAATTCACAGGCACATGCGCCCAGTAAGCGCGCGCTCGTTCTGGCTCGCTCGGCCTGCGCACCGCACCGCCTCGCCTCGCCTCACCTCGCCTTGCCTCTCGGTCTGCTCTCTCGAGTCGGTGTGTGTTCGCCCGCCCGCCTGCCCGCACGCCTGCCCGCCTTTGCCCCCTCTCGAGTCCGCGTCTGGAGGGCGGAAAGCGCTGGAGCGTGCCCACCCGCACTCACGCCTTCCTTCCGCCTCCGTTATCGTCCCTCACTTCCACCAACCCGCTCTCACCACCTCGTGTCACTTTGATCATCATCATCACCATCATCATCCGCATCCACCTGTTCACTTCAGGGTAAGTCCGCCCCCTTCCTAACCTTCATCCAATGCATGCCCGTCCATCCACATCACCAACGCCGTCGCCACCACGCACGCACGCACACACGCACACCCACACATACACACACATACGCGCCACTCGACGCGATCCCCAACCGCGTATCGATCGTCCCACCCGTCGACGCCACCATGCCACCCCAATCTTCAGCATGCGCATCCCTACCATCGATCTGCATCACTGGCACACCTGCCAGCTATGCAAGGGCGCAGTGGCCATCCATGCACGTCACATCGGCTTGGCAAGCTCAGCATCCACGCGCGTCTTGACACTTCACCCGCAAGGTCATCCAGCCTCGGATCGACATGTGCGGCACAGGGACACCGGCCACACATGCACATATACATGCCCGAACACCCTGCCCAAAAATTCTCACAGAATCGATGATCGTCGTCATCGTCTATCTCATCAGCCGTCTCGCCACCACCATGCTGTTCAAAACAGTGGCCTTGAACGCCCTTTTTCCGCGCAGCAGGGTCTCTCTAGCGCCAGGCGAGCCGCATCTGCCACTCTTGCAGCAAGGAGTTCAGTCCAAAGAGCGCAAGCCAGCGTCCCAAAACACACTTCCGACACCCCTTTGTGCACAGTACTCGCCCTGGACGGGCATTGCACCTCGATTATTGGCGATCCATCGCGTGATGAACCACCCTGCTGACTTGTCTTTTCGCGCCTTACAGCCTCTTCAACCTTTGATCCTCCTAGAACTTTTTTTCTTCGACATCCTACTTCACAATGCCGGAATCGCGTGAGGACTCTGTCTACCTCGCCAAGCTCGCCGAGCAGGCTGAGCGCTACGAGGGTAAGTTGCAAACGAGCCAGAACTCAACAGAAGAGGAAGTTAGGACCGCGCGAGCTGACCTGACCACCTTGTTCATTCGCACGCAGAGATGGTCGAGAACATGAAGCGCGTCGCTTCGTCCGACCAGGAGCTCACCGTCGAGGAGCGCAACCTTCTCTCGGTCGCTTACAAGAACGTCATTGGCGCCCGCCGTGCCTCGTGGCGCATCGTCTCCTCCATCGAGCAGAAGGAGGAGTCCAAGGGCAACGAGACGCAGGTCTCCATGATCAAGACCTACCGCGAGAAGATCGAGGCCGAGCTCGCCCAGATCTGCGAGGACATCCTCGACGTCCTCGACAAGCACCTCATCCCCTCGGCCGCCTCGGGCGAGTCCAAGGTCTTCTACCACAAGATGTACGTGCCGCATTTCCCCCGCGATTTCAACCAGATAGCAGCAGAGCTGACCCTTTTTTTTAAAAAAAAACCTTCGCTTCACAGGAAGGGTGACTACCACCGATACCTCGCCGAGTTCGCCACTGGCGACAAGCGCAAGGACTCTGCCGACAAGTCGCTCGAGGCCTACAAGGCCGCCTCGGACGTTGCCGTCACCGAGCTGCCCCCCACGCACCCCATCCGTCTGGGTCTGGCGCTCAACTTCTCGGTGTTCTACTACGAGATCCTCAACAGCCCCGACCGCGCCTGCCACCTCGCCAAGCAGGCTTTCGACGACGCCATCGCCGAGCTCGACACGCTCTCGGAGGAGAGCTACAAGGACTCGACGCTCATCATGCAGCTCCTCCGCGACAACCTCACCCTCTGGACCTCGGACATGCAAGATTCCGAGAAGCCCACCGAGGCCGCTGCCGCCGACGCCCCGGCTGCCGAGGCCAAGGGCGAGGAGGCTGCCTAAACGAGTCGAGCTGCCCGCAAGTTGAAAGTTAAAAGGCTCGGCTCCCAACCCTCCTCCTCCTCCCTCTTCCTCTCGCGCTTTCCCTCTTTGTTTCCCTCCTTGTTTTCCCCCTCCCCTCCCCACGTCATTTGGAGGCCGTCGCTTTCGTCTCGCATCCCCGACGTCGTTTGTCTCGTTCGCTTGATTGGCTGATGTGCACGGATGGCGCCCGCACTCTGCTGTCTGTCTCTCTCGCGCACATTGGCTGGTCCTGCATGGGGACGCGGCGGGGGGGAACGGGATTGTGCTGTACCTGTAGTCCAGGTCATGTTACCGAATATCTTCCATTCGACGTCGTGCTATATCCAGAAGATGTTTTTCCGAAGTCGTTCCGCCCGACTTGAGACGGACTGCGCTGCATCTGATGATTGAAAGTGCTGTTGGCGCAGCGGTGAGGTGGAGCGGGGGGGCAGAGCCTTTTGTGAGGGGACGGGAGTGGCCGTGTTGGATGGGCGGTGCGGGTTGGAACAGGCGCGCGCACGGCCGAAATTGTGCGTCGACCGGACTTTGACGCCCCTTTGTCTTGTCCACCATCCCTGCTCGAAGCAGCCTCGCTTCTTCCTCAGCCGCCACAACACACTTCAAGCAGACCTTGCGGCTGTTCGCACCATCGAGACTTTTCTCACCACCGTCTCGCTCTATTGACCGCGCGATTCTCTCCCGAGCCTCCTCGTCGAGCCTGCCAACCGTCGAGTCTTCTCTCCCGGTCTTGACGCTTCCTTCACTGCGCAATCCTCCCGCTCGCCTACTCCCTTTCAAGCCTGTTCCCACGGCCATCGCTTTCTTTCGCACAAGCCCCTTCTCTGCATCGTCTCACTCTCTTGCACAAGCCTCCCACTTGCCTACTCCCCGGTCCCGTCAACCACTCGACCTCCGCTGATCTACGTCCTGTCGATCCTGCTCGCCACGCGACTCCGCTCCGGTAGCGAACGTGCTCGCTCACACATCTCCGACGCGCGTTACCCACGCGCCGCTCCACGTCGCTCCATCGCAACAGCGCACAACAGCATCGACACCCAACCTCCTCCAAGGCACCGCTCGTGTCCGCCCTGGGACGGCGCAAGGTAACGCAAGATGAACTCCAACTCGTCGTCCTCCATGCGCGGGCTCACACAGTACATCGCCGACCTGCGAGCATGCCGTGTGCGCGAGCTCGAAGAGAGAAGGATCAACAAGGAGATGGCGCACATCCGCGCCAAGTTCAAGGAAGGCCAGCTCGACGGCTACCAAAAGAAGAAGTACCTCTCCAAGATCGTCTTCACCTACATCCTCGGCTACCAGGTCGACATCGGTCACATGGAGGCCGTCAACCTCATCGCCAGCACAAAGTACTCGGAGAAGCAGATCGGATACCTCGCCATCACCCTGCTCATGCACGAAAACTCGGACATCGTACGCCTCGTGGTCAACTCGATCCGCAAGGACCTCGACGAGATCAGCGAGGTCAACAACTGCCTCGCCCTCCACGCCATCGCCAACATCGGCGGCAAGGAGATGGCTGAGGCGCTCGCCGGCGACGTCCATCGGCTGCTCATCTCGCCCACCTCGCGCAGCTTTGTCAAGAAGAAGGCCGCGCTCACGCTGCTCCGCCTCTACCGCAAGCATCCCGACGTCATCCCCGCAGACGAGTGGGCGCTGCGCATCATCGCCATCATGGACGACGACGACCTCGGCGTCGCGCTCGCCGTCACCAGCCTCGTCATGGCCATGGCCCAAGACCATCCGCACGCCTTTGCCACCTCCTACAACAAGGCGGTGCTGCGCATGCATAGGATCGTAGTCGAAAACGACTTTACCTCCGAGTACGTCTACTACAAGGTGCCCATCCCATGGCTCCAGGTCAAGCTGCTCCGTCTGCTCCAGTACTACCCGAGCACCGAAGATCCCACGCTGCGTCGCACGCTCGAGACGGTGCTCGATACCATCATCAACAACTCGCAAGAGAGCCCCAAGAACGTGCAGCACAACAATGCGCAAAACGCCATCCTGTTCGAAGCCATCAATCTGGCCATCCAGCTCGACACCGAGTCGGCCGTCGTCGCCAAGGCCGCCGTGCTGCTGGGCCGCTTCATCCTCTCGCGCGAGACCAACGTGCGCTACCTGGGCCTCGACACCATGGCGCACCTGGCGGCGTGTGCCGAGAGCCTGGAGCCCATCAAGATGCATCAGAACACCATCATCCTCTCGCTGCGAGACAAGGACATCTCGGTGCGCCGCCGCGGCGTGGATCTGCTGTACAGCATGTGCGACGTGACCAACGCACGGGTGATCGTCTCGGAGCTGCTCAAGTACATGCAGATCGCCGACTATGCGCTGCGCGAGGAGATGGTGCTCAAGATCGCCATCCTCACCGAAAAGTTTGCCACCGAGTATGCGTGGTACGTGGACACGATCCTGCAGCTCATCAGCTCGGCGGGCGACCACGTGAGCGACGAGGTGTGGTACCGCGTGATCCAGATCGTGGTGAACAACGAGGACGTGCAGGAGTATGCGGCGACCAAGGTGCTCGAGCATCTAAAGTCGACCACCTGCCACGAGAACATGATCAAGGTGGGCGGCTACATCCTCGGCGAATTTGGCCATCTCATCGCCAACGATCCGGGCGCGAGTCCGATCGAGCAGTTCCACACGCTGCATTCGCGCTCGCACCTGTGCTCGCAGTCGACGCGCGCGCTGCTGCTCTCGACGTACGTCAAGTGGCTCAACCTGTTCCCCGAGATCCGCGAGCAGATCCTGTACGTGCTCAACCGCTACCGCCACGTGCTGGATGCCGAGCTGCAGCAGCGTGCGTGCGAGTACGTGGCGCTCGCAGAGATGCCCGACGACGAGCTGCTGCAGGCCGTGTGCGACGAGATGCCGCCGTTTGCGCAAAAGTCGTCGCTGCTGCTCAGCAGGCTGCACAAGAAGCACACCGACACCGAGGACAAGCGCACCTGGATCATCGGCGGCAAGGACTCCAACCGCGGCCGCGAAGAGGCGCGCCTCGAGAGCCTCAAAAAGGGCAAGGCCAACGGCGGCGCCATGCCCACCGGTGGCAATCTCGGCTCGGTCATCCGCGCCGGCCATCCCTCCGAGGCGGTCACCGCCGACTCGATGCGCAACGGCGCATCCGACGATGCCGACAATGTGCTTGCCGGACTCGAGGGGCTGGATATGAACGCCACCTCGTCCGCGCTCGAGGATGCGGGGCTGCTGTCCGAGCAGCCTTTGATCGGGGATGAAGCGTCGCCGGCGGCGTCCAAGGTGTCGACGCCCGCGACGCCCGCGACGCCCGCGACTCCAGTGAGCGCGGCGACGTTCAGCGCCGGGAGCGACAAGTACTTCCAGCGGCTGTGCTTTGCGGCCGAGGGCGTGCTGTACGAAGACAGCCAGATGCAGATCGGGCTCAAGAGCGAGTACCACGCGCACCAAGGCCGGCTCGCGCTGTACTTTGGCAACAAGATCGGCGTCAACTTTAGCGCGTTTAGCGTTTCGGTGCGCTCGCCCGATGCAGCGCTGTCGGTGAGCGTTCCCAAGATCCCGACCAACGTGTTGGGGGCCATGACGCAGGCGCAGACGGTGGTGCTTGTCGAGTGCCACGACCTGTTTACGCAGCCGCCGGTGCTCGAGGTGTCGTATCTGGCAGGTTCGCTGCACGAGATCCGGCTGCGACTGCCCGTGCTGGTGAGCAAGTTTATCGAGCCGGTGCAGCTGGGTGCCACCGACTTTTTCGAGCGATGGCGCCAGATCGGCGGAGCGCCGCGCGAGGCACAGAAGATCTTTGGATTCAGGCTGTCGAGTGCGGGCGAGGTGGACGTGAGCCGACAACGCAGGATCATCGAGGGTGCAAGGCTGCAGCATCTGGACGGGGTTGATCCGAACCCGACCAACTCGGTCGCTGCAGGTGTGCTGCACATGGCGCGTGCCGGTAAGGTCGGATGTCTGCTGAGGCTCGAACCGAATCGCGATGCCAAACTCGCACGGCTCACGGTGAGGACGACCAACGACCTGGCGTCGACGGAGCTGCTCAGGATCCTGCTGGCTGTACTGGGCACCGACGAGCCCAAGCTGTGAAATGCATCGCAGGTCGTGTCGAGTGTGTCGAGTGTGGGGGGTGATGTCGTGTGGGCCGTCGACTGAGAGGGTAGACTTAACACGCTCGGGTGAATTTTTCAAGTGGCACACGACATTCTGGTCCGCGCGGCTTGGAGTGGCGTCACACACACCGGTGGGCAAGGGCGAGATGTGGAGAGAGAGAAAGCACATTGCCATCTCACCCTCTTCTCCATCATCATCCTCCTCACCTCTGTTCCTTCTACGGCGATTTCTTTGTATCGCAACCAACCCCCCCTTGAAGCGGAGAAGCGGAGCTTGACAACGAGTAGAGTAAGTGCATCCTGCCTAGCTTCGCTTGACGTTGGATGTTGTTTGGCTGACTGGTAGAGGATGTTTGGTTTGGTGGGGGTTTTATAGTTGGTAGTTGAGAATGTCTCGTCGACCTGGATGTTACGTGTGTGGCCAGCGTAAGTGCCTACTCTCGTCTCTTTGCCGCATTTTGCTTTAGGCTGACACTTTTTTTTTGGCAGTGGGGCATCTTGCTGAGAACTGTTCGTTCAGCGAGCGTCGATGCTTCAACTGTCTCGAGCCTGGACACGAATCGTCTGCATGCGAGGCACCGCGTACGGCGGATGCCAAGCAGTGCTACGGCTGTGGAGGCAAGGGTCACATTCGTGCCGACTGCCCCACTCCCGCCTCGGGTGCCGCAAAGGCCTGCTATACGTGCGGAGACCAGGGCCACCGTGCCCGTGACTGCCCCCAAAACCCCAAACCCCCCGCAGCCGCCGAATCAAAGCCCGTAACCTGCAGAAACTGCGGCCAACCAAACCAGTACGTGCACCCCCC